ATGCTTAAAAGGAGATGATAAATGTTTTTGCCATCATATGACTGATGATGTCTTTTGAATAAAGACAAAAACTAGTCTCAAGTGAAATTGTAGCTTCATTATGTATAAGGTGGTGTTTGTCTTATTATCTATTCTTAAATTCTTCACCTTAAAAAATGATTCATTCATTTCTTTCCTGTATGTTTGTATTAACTGATAACATTCATTTACAATTGACTCATGAAGAAAATTTTTTTTAGAAATTGAGAATCATAATGTTGGTCTTACTCTTGAAAAATCCCACGAATAAAATTTTATTGATCATTTATTAATTAATTTTGTATTCGTTTTCGAATTGGATCCTTCTACAAGTAAAATGGCTGATTAAATAGTTTAATTGGAGATAAAGATGCAAAAATCCCTCTATATCTGATTAATTTATCTAAGCAAGACGTTGATTCTTGCTGTTCGAGAGTCTCACATATTACTACTGATCGTCTTCGAACAATCAAAAATATCAAATGATAAGACATATGGAAACATTGAGCTATTTTTCTCGTTATTCTTGCTTGAACAATATACGCAGCTCGCTATCTCGATTCAGTTCACTGCCAAATTCTAGAATAAATATTCTCATATTACTAAAGGAATTGTTACATTTGCTTCATCTTTTCTCCTCCTGGTTTCTGGAGGCGAAAGGTGGATTTCTTCAGGAGAAAACCTTGTGGATAAAGGTGTACTTCTTGAGGAGGAAACATGAAGTTCATGTGGACAAAGGTGGATTTCTTCGGTAGGAAATATGAAGTTCTTATGGAGAAAGTTTGATTTTTCTTCAGGAGAAAACATGAAGTGCTTCTGCATACTACTTTTTCATCTGTCACGGGAGCTTCAAAAAGTTGTCGGATATTTGCTTCCGATTCTCCTGCCATGCCATTTAACAGTTCTGATCCGTTGACTACTTGTGGCTATACGTCCAACAATTCGGTAGGTACGTCCAAACAAGGTAGGTTTGCATACTTTCGTGAGAAAACAAATGAATCTACTTGCGTACCTGTACTATTAACAAAATTTGGTGGATATATATGCGATAACAGTACATCACGAAATATTGTGACAATTTCACTATCAAGACCACCAAGTTTATTTTTGAAATTGAACTCTGCATTTATCACTGTAGCTAAATCTGGCTTCGTTGTACATGGTACCACTATGTATAATTCATTTTCTTTTAAATTGAATTTCTTTCGCTAAAACATAGTACGCATTGTAATTCGATTTATGTATTAACATATTAATAACAACTAGTTTTTTTGCATTCAGTATCTAAAACAAAGTTACCTCTTTTTGGCTGATTGCAATGCATTCTTCTGGCACTTGTGTACTACCCCTTATTTTAACCTTCAGTTTTTCTCCATTGTCTTTTATAATTACTAGGGGTATTAATTTAGTTTTATTGTTCATTTATAATAACGAATAAATATAAATGAATCATTTACTGTTATAAAATAAATATGAATGGATTATTTACTTTCATAGAAAAGGTAAGATAAAGAAATAAAGAATTTTTTTTGCTATTTTCAAGTGAATTAACGAACAGGAAACTCGTACCATGTCTTCGTTAATGCAACTGAAGCCTAACTTTTCGATCAGACATCTATTTGAGAGGCTCCTTTAAAAACATACCATTTCTTGATCGAGTGTCGGAGTTCCTTCGAATACCGATTCCTTGCACTTGTTAGTTCTAACTCAACCTTTAAACAATTTCGAGAACTGTACTCTATATCGGTAATCTCGTCCTTAACATCCTCATTCATTAGTCACTAATACATGATTTCTTTCAGACAGGTACACACAGTTTTATTTTCAGAAAAAAATTTCTATTTTTCAGTTGATAGAAAATATATAATGAAATACACACAAACAGAAAAAAAGCACACAAGTTTCTGTTTATTTGTCATTAAAATAAAGCATTTTTATTTTTTTAACTACATCAGATATCGAAGTGTTGTCGGTGAAAGAGAAGAACGTTGCTGCGGTGAACATAACCAGCCACAGAAAATGCCGATTCTGAGGCGACTGACGCCGTGGGAATGACGCTATAGCGACGTACAAACGAAGATAAAATTGGCAACAAATTTTGTTTTTCATTCCAGTAAGTTTCAAAATCTTTTGACGACCTGTTTGTCGAAATATATAAACTAAATTCTTCTTTTATTGATAATGGTTTTTGCGTTTGTGCTGATTTTGGTGTGGCTGCTGGTGTGCGATGACACGAGCTTTTGAATTGATTTATTGTTGAAACTCGAGAACGCTTTGTGATTGTGATAGACGAGGATGACGATTGTTGTTGTGGCGGTGGTGTGGTTGTAGTTGGCTGTTGTCTTGCCGCACCACA